AAGTGAAGATCTAGTTAAATCAATAGGAAATAATTCCTTGATAGAGGAGTTGATAAAGTTCCATGGTTTGTAGCGCTATTAAAAACTAGGAGACACAGATGATAATGCTGCTGTCTTAAGCTGTGTGTGTTTATACATGTGAATATTAATTTGGTATCCCTTACCTGCAAATGTTTTATCGTAAAGATTTTTGCAAAACCTTTGCCTTTGGGCTGCTTGTAAAATCAGGGAGTTAGTGTCTTTAACAAGCTAGGAAAGGGTTGATTTCTTTTCATCTTTTGATGCTCTGGCTGTCTTATAGATGGCTGAAAGAAATAATGCTAGAGGACTGACTCCAAAAACTGTGATACCTTAAACTTCCTCCTGAGGAGGTAAACTACTTTTGGTTTTATGTTCTTAAATCAGGCTGGAAGCATGATTTCTTTGTTAGCATAAGAGACTGTCAAAATCGTGTGTCAATGAGAATCTGCAGGTACATAACTGCCTTGGCTCTGCCTCCAGCTACTTGCAGTTTCTCTTCTACCTGTTAAATGTGTTGCTTATCTTGAGTAGCTACTGGCAGCAGTATAGCTTATGCACCATAAGGAGATCAGGGAAGTGCACTTGAGATATCTGAAAAAGTACTGTGTGGTATCTTGCTTTAGTATTCTCTATTTTGCCCAGAGGAGTTTTGAGTGACAAATGCAATATAAATGTAGAGATGGAGTAGATAATCCTGTTCCAGGTTCTGGGAGAGATTGATAGTACTTAAATGAGGAGGGGAAAAAGTATTTCTTGTACAAGTGCCTGCTAAAACAGATGCAGAGTTTTAGAACTTCTTGCTTACATAGCTGTCTCTGGGTTGAAGTCATGGTTAGGCTTTACTTCATTTGGACTTACTGTGCAATAATCTCAATTTAAAAAGAAAAGGTCTCTTTACAAAGGTAAGGACATTTTAGTTTTGATTTCAAGATTAGAGTATTACTTCCTCTTTTAGCTCTATACTAAGTCCAGGTAATGAAAATACGGGAGAAGTGTAGCTGTAAGGAAGAGGTTTCAAATAGGGTACTTAGGAAGCTGAAAGGTTGATGTCAACACCTGGAGTAGTTAGAGAAAAAGATTTTAATCCTAGCTATCTGTGCTGGGTCAGGCTGGGGTGGAGTTAGTTTTCTTCATAGCAGTCCATATGGTGCTGTGTTCTAGATTTGTGACCAAAACAGTGTTGATAAAACACCAGTGTTTCAGCTTTTGCTGACGGCACTTACACAGTGTCAAACCTTACTGTTTCTTAGTGTGCACACCCACACCCCACCCTGCTGCAGGAGTAGGATGGGGTGGGCTGAAGGTTGGGAGGGGACACAGCCAGGACAACTGACCCAAACTGACCAAAGAGATGTTCCATACCATGTAATGTCATGCTCAGCAATAAAACCAAGGGTGATGAGGTGGGGAGGAGTTTTTTCCCAAATAGTAGTTGCTCAGAGGCTGGGTAGGTATTGGTCTGCTGGTGGTGAGTGATGGCTTTTGCATCATTTGTTTCTTTATCTTTTTTTTCCTTCACTTGTTAAACTGTCTTTATCTCAGCCCATGAGTTTTTCTTGCTTTTGCACTTCTAATTTTCTCCCTGATCCGGCTGTGAGGGAATGAGCAAGTGGCTGGGTGAGGACTCACCTGCCAGCCAGGGTCAGTCCGCCACACTGTCCTGGATACCTCTGACTGCATATCTTCGTTATACTTTGTATGTATGAACACACTGCCGCTCCTTCCCACATTGATACCTCCTCCACTATTTGTATAGTCTTGCAAATTTATTTGTTTCAGAAATATGATATAGACAACTGTAGCCAAGAGACAGAAAGTGTAATTAGAAGGAGCATGGTGTATTAATATCTTCCAAGAGGAGGTAAAATGTTGTGTGGTGTATGTTGAACAGTTACAGGTTTATTTCCAGTAACATTGAATTTGTCTGCTGTGTTAACAATACACAGTGGTATGGGATGTAGACTAGAAGCACCTTGATCATTTCAGCTGGTGAGAGCATAACCAAGGAATCTGAAACCTTGCTGTCCAAGAAAATAGGGTCACTGTTTCCTAACTAGTGACTTGCAAGGCTGTGTCCTTATGGATCAACTATCAAACTTTTTCACATACAGTAGTTCTTTTTGTCTCTGATCCTGCCTCCCCCCCCACCCCCCCCAAGTTCTTTATTTAATTAACTATTCATGAATAGTTTGGTGTAAATTGAGCAATGTTTATTAACTGTTATTGATATATAACTTTTATATATAAAACTTACTAACTTTCTTGATACACTTACTGATACTGGTATGCAATATAGATTGGCCGTAAATAAAAATGTAATGTTGGTGATCTTTGCCAGCAGGTTTTTACTGCCATTAAGGAAAAAGTGAGAGGGTACTAGGGAGGGAGAGATAGTAGTGACTGGTTTGTGCGTCATCAATAGGCTGGCTTTATCCGGTTGATCTATCAATTTACTTTACTCAGTGTTAAGGAGAAATTGGCAGAAGGCTCAGGAAGCTAGGGCACTGGAAATTCTCCTCAACTCTCTTGAGTCTCAAAAACTGTGTCAAAACTGAGTGTGTCATATAGCTATCTGCTGACTCAGTTTGAAGTCCAGTAGTCCATGTTTATTTTGGAAAGCTTTCTAGGAGATCTTATTGCATTTTTGTGAAAATAGTGGGGGTGCTGGAGCTATACAGGTTTCAGGTTCATTAGTTAAATGGTCAAAAGACAAGGTGAAATAGAATGCAAGCCTACTTTTTCACATAAAATGCGGTAGATTCTATGCTCATTTAGCTGCAGTTTTGTTAGAATGTTTGCTGAAAGTTCAAGTGCTTTTTAATGTTAGAATACATGAAATAAAGACTTTATTCTGAAACAGTAGGTAACACTCTTTTTTTCTTTAATTTGTGTGTGTGTTTTTTTTTAATAGAATATTCAAATAAAAACTTTGGCAGATGATGTGGTAAGGTCTTTGTAACATCTTGATTTGCAATGGTAACTCCACGCTGCATGCTATTTTACTGCAAATGTTGTGGACTATAACATGTTCTTATAAGGATATTAAGCATTAGATTTCAGAAAATTGAGTTACTGTTACTAAAGATCTTCATTTGTAACTTGAGTTGAAGAAGAGTAATTAATGATACCTATTTGGAGAAGGTTTAACCACATTCTAAATACTTTAGTAATACTGTGGAAATGTTGAAACTGTTATTCAACAGTTCAAGTGTTATTTCTTTTGACGTTCTTTTTAACAGTAAAGAATCTGCAGTGGTTCTTCAAAGTTAGTTGTCACATGATTCAAGGGGAACCATTTTGGGTAATAAGTGTGTACTGTATGTCAAACAACAATTTTGTATTCAGTAGCGCTAACTTTATAATTCTGAATACTTTGAAACCTGTTGCAAAGTATTTTTAGAGAAACATATCAAAATTGATGGCAGTGAAATTATAAACATTTATTTTCTATTTGTAATAGTTAAGTCGCGCTTGTCACTTAGTTAATCATCACTTACATGTCTGAAATGAAGAAATTGTACCTAGTAATCATGTAGAAGATTAATTTATGGCTTTAAAGTGATCTCACCATTGCAATTTGATTAAACAAATTTATTGGTAATAAGGTATACTTGAAACAGATCACAGTATGGTGAAACTGATCTTAAAAGGCTTTTTTCTTTGTGACTGCTGAATGGGCATTTTAATGTAAGTGAACGTTTGATGTATACTGGCTAATTTTGGATACTGCCGGCCAGGCATTATGTCATATCTTTGGCCTTTTCAGTAGGCTATGCCCTAATTTTTACTTTCAAAAAATGTAATGTAAACTATTCTAATAAGGGAAAAAATGGAATTATAGTAACATTCTTGCCTTGTTAAAGATGTTAACAGTATCCTTGTAGGTAATGTGTTTCTGTCCACAAATGTAAGACTTCTAAGGAAGAAGAAAACCTAAACCCAACCCCCCTTCCCTCAAAACCACAAACAAACCAAATAAACCTCCAAAGAAATTCAAAGGGCATGCAGCTTATCTAGGGGTAGTTTCCTTTCAAAAATTTAAGGTAGTCTTGTAGGATCTCAAAAAAAACAACAACAAAACAAACCCAACAACAAAACAAACCAAGAAAAAGAAACAAAACAACAAAAAAAGAGAAAGAACCTTTCTTCCTGATATTCTATAGCCCTTGGTCAAATTTCTCCACTCCTGACTACACTAATCTAAAATGAATCCAAATTTACTACAAATGAATTACTGCATTAAACTTTTCGCATCTCACAGAGGTTGTTTAATTATAGGAAATAGAAATTTTGGTTTACATGTCTTCATAGAGGTTGCAGCAACTGCTATGAATGATGCTGGTAACCCTACATAAGCTGCTGTTACATGAAAGCACATCTTCATAAGGCTGTTCAATGCCTGAAACAAATACACTAGTATTTGTTGATGCAAACAAACAATTTAGAAAAATCACTATAGACATAGTGTTCTCAAATTGAACATATATGTGTATATATAGTTAAGCACAGTATTATTAAATAAAAAAAAAATCAGACTCTATTCAGAATAGAGTTATGTATTAATAATACAGTAATAAATGGCCTTATAAGGAAGGTGCTCTTGTTGGTTGTTTCCAGTATTAACAAATTAACTCCGGTAAGCATGCCTTAAAAGAAGGAAAAAAAAAAAAAAAGGATGGGGGGGTTTGGTGTAAGGTGTAAAACAAGTCAGCCTTAACCAGTGAAATGTCATTGCAGACTGTATGATAAGCTTTCACTAATGTCTGTTATGTGTATTTAACTATGGATGGCTGCTTCTATGTGGGTAATCCATTACCTGGCTTTTTAAAATTACGCACTAATTTCAGGAGTCCGTACTCAAAAACACTTCAAGGAATTTTGAACTATACTTGGAGCATTAATTCCTCTATAAACTTTATTTTACTTTAGCAGGATTTTTTTATAAGCCTGATGAACTTGTGAGTACCTCCTTCCCAACGATGGCTTTTTCAGTTGCCCTCCAAAGACTTATAGCTCTTCAGGTGAAGGAACGCTTGGACATTACCTTTGTGGTACCATATTTATTCACTATCAGGATAATTAGGGAGTAATGTGAGAAGATGAACTCAAGATTTTGAAATGCTAAGAGTTTAACATAGATGGTATACTTTTGAAACTATGAGAAATAGTTATATCCCTTTTGCATGTGATCTGTCATGAATTTACCTTAAATGTTGTTGTTTATGAAAAGTAATCTCTGAATGTTAGAGTATTTTTACTTACAATTCAGTTTGAGTTTTAACTCTGCTGCTTGGATTAACTAAAAATGTGTGTATTATTGCCATGTAACTTGCTACTTTCCTACTTATTTTTAAATGAATGTCTTTGCAGCGTGACAGAATAACAAGCTTCAGAAAATCAGCAGTGAAAAAAGAGAAACCTCTCATTCAGCATCCTATTGACTCTCAACCTTCTATAAGTGAAATCCCGCTTGCCCAGGCACTTGTTGATGAACGTTGCATGAACTTATCAGAAAAAGAAGTTATGGATCTTTTTGAAAAAATGATGGTAAGATTATGTGCTACATCATTTTATGACGTTCTAATTTGTTTGCATGTTGGCATTTATTATGTAGTAGTGATTTTCAAATGTTGTCATTTTGGAAGTATTAACTACTTATGAGGACATAGCATAGACAATGTCTCTGATAGACCTGTCTAAATTGGCACATAAACAATTGAAACTCATAGAATGCTGGCATTATATATGTTTAAATTGCTTGGTCTAGTTCTACAGAGAAAACAGAGGCAAAAAAACTCCAAAACAAACAAACAAAAGTTAACCTCTTGATTGTTCCATTAACGTAACCTCTATAGACCTTGGTTGCAGTAGTTAGATACTGCTGTTGAAGGACAATTTTTAATAAACTTAAATAAATACCTTTGGAAAATAGCAATTTCCCTTAAGAAAATTGTAATGCATAGAAAGTTGAATTTTTGTATGATCTTCAGTATTTTCTATCTTAGGATCAATCATCAAGGTTTGTGATTCTACTCAGAAACCAGGTTTTCTATTAGTGATATAGAAACAAACTTTTAAAGTAGGAGTGTGTTAATTCTGCCGTGCACATTGGTGTTGATACATGAAGTGTCAGGAACTGCAGTCTTTTCAGTATTGTTAGAAATATGATTTTCTGTATCGTTCTTTAAAATTGTTGTAAACTTCCGTAGAGTCAGTGTGGGTAGTGGAAGAGCTGTCCTCTTCCATTGTGTAGCTCTATTCTATTCAATGAAGATGTGTAGCTCTTTTGAAACATTGCATAAGTGTTAATTAATACTTACTTGATTCACTTGTTAGATTAAAGGATTCACTTTTAACTTTTCCAAGGAATGTTAACTAAAGCAGACCATAGGTCTGTCTTCCAGAGACTAATAATTCTTTCAAAAAGCTGTTAGCTACTAAGTTACTACAGTAACATTTACTGGTCTTAGTTGCTAATGTGAAGGTAGTTTGCATTGTAGTGGCAAGACTAGTCATGACTACATGTAGTATTTTATTAGCTATTAAGTTGAAGCAGGCATCTTTAGATTTGATCTAGCAGAATATTTGGATTTTTAGGTTTGTTTTCAGTACATCAGTTGGAACGCATTCATATCTACCCCTGCCGCAAGCTAATAGTATTAACAGTCTTCTGATTAGATAGCGCAGGAATGGTGTCCATTGTGATGAGATTTTTATAAAAACCACAGGAACCGCACAAGAGTTAACACTTATGGGATCTGCTTGAGGTGTAGAATTTTTGGGTTTTGTCCTCTAGTTTTATTTCTTAAACTCAGTTGCACTAATGGTCACTACCCTTGATGCAGTTAGAATTTTGGCTAAGCACTGAGAAGAGCGAACACTTGAAGTGACAGAATTAAATGAGAAAATCAGGTAGCTCAGAATTAAGCAAACTGAAATGCAGATAAACTGGAAAAAGTCACTTCTGTTTGTTTAAAAATGAGCTGTTTGTTTAAGGGAGTACAAAATGAACAGACTAATAAAAAGCGTAAAATAGAATCTTGATGTTGTGTGGTCTCTTTCTTTACAGGAAGATATGAATCTAAATGAAGAACGTAAAGCTCCTTTAAGAGATAAAGACTTGACCACAAAACGTGAGATGGTTGTCCAATACATATCTGCAACTGCCAAATCCGTAAGTAGTCGCCTGTCCAAGACAGATGAAAGTAAGAAGCTCACCTGCGTGAGTGTTAGGCTTTTCAAGCTTGAAACTTTCAATTTTTTGGTCTGGATTTACTGTCTAAGGGTGGTAGGAAAAAAAACCCTGTACTTACTAATAAACTTTAAAATGTTTGCAGCTGCTTCTGAAGGGTTAGTTTGTACTTCAGTTGTTGGGCAATGTAAAAACTTGGTGCTTTCTTGTAAACCATAAGAAATTGCAAATCCAATGATGTAGAGTAATGGATGGAACCTGAGCATATTTCCGTGGGATTCATCTTACCAATTTTTGGTACCAAAAATTTTTGGAAGGGATAGCATGACTTCATGGTTTCTGTAATGACATAAATACTAGATGTACAATTTGCAGTATTAGAAGCAGGGAATCAAAATATTGGAAGTATTTAAATTGGAGTAAAGTCAGTGTTTTAGCTTAATTTGAGTATGTTGAGTACTGTAGCTGGCTTGAAGACTGCATTAAATACTCTGCTAAGAAATATTTTGAAGGCAAATAAAATGATTCCTGTAGAGAAAAGATGGTCTTAGAACAAGTTTCAAATTATAGTTTGAGTAGAAAAAAGATATTCAGACCTTTCATTTGTGTTGATGATTATCTGTACTTAAGTTGATTGATTAACCCTTAGTTGATGTATCCTTCATGCAAAATTTTTGGAATATCTTTTGGGGTGCCAGAAGTATAAGAGAACGACTGGATGCCCCAACATTTGTTGAGATGGAGAAATACAATTTCAAATAGTGAGAAGCTTGATTTATTTTCTGTAGTGGGACTAATAGAGGTGGGACTATTAGTACTAATTAGTTGCAAAATACAACAGTAATGCTTTTTGTGTGTTTAAAAATTGGCTATGGCAAATATAGTTCTTCTCATGTAAATGAACAAAAATTCATGAGTATTGGATGAAACAGAGAGAGAGAGATGTTGTGATTTCCCTAGAAATAGTTTTTGTCCTGATTTGTGCCGCTGTTTGCTGTACGAAGAATTTTAAAGAAGCTAGTAGTGAATTCTGAGGAACTGAATGTATTGCAGTATTGGGCACAAGTGGTGGTGATGGGGTAGCTTTTTTTTATCTATAGGGCAGTAGTATGCTTCGAGTGATAAAAGTTGCTATCAGCCTAGTTCTTCAATTATATTAGGTAGTGCGTAGGATTTTATCTGGAAATTAGGATGAATCTCATCTATTTTTCACACTGAAGTTATTGTGTGCAATAAAGGATTACTGGAAATGAAGACTATGGGTGGAATAATTGCTCAAATATGTAATGGCAACACTGCTGGCAGTTCTACAGAGCTGAGTCTGAGTGCTAAAACCAGATAGCGTTAAATAATAATCTGTTTTGTAGTGAAATAAACTTGTTGACGTCTGCCGAATGAATCTGTGGGCATGGACTGCAAGCAGTGCAGTTGCCTTGTCTTTCTTTTAACCTTTAAAATCAGCTCTGCAGAGTTAAATTTCAAAAAATTAAAACGACAATGACATGCAATTATTAAATGCAAATGGTTTGCATTAAACTTTATAAACTTAAGTGAGGAAAAACTTGCATTGTAATGTGAAAATGGTGATTTACGTTTCTGAGAGAAGTGATGTTCCTGCATGAGTTCACCTTGAACAAAAACCATAGTCCTTTTGCCTGTCCTGGAAGGAATCCAGTGCTTAAAGCATGGTCTCGGTAAATATGCAAGTTATTGAAGAATTATTCAAGCTTATGCAGTGAATATTATGAAATTTCCTGTTAATATACTTTGCCTAGACTATCTTTGGAAACTATTCATTATGTATTGTGAGGATTTTGTCTTCTTCCGATGATTAATGTTGAATCTTAAATTTTTCTTAGTAAGCAAAAATATTTTATTGAAGCAGTAGAAACTTTCACAAAGGAAGTACTTGCAATTCTTTCCCAAAAACTAGTTGGATCTCTTGTATGTACTGATACTGAAATGTAGCTCCCTCAAGTACCATAATTTTGTAGCTGAGTAAGGAAAAAGTGGCTATCATTGCATGTCTGACTGCTGAAAACTTTAACAGATTACTGCCACCATATGCGCTGCAACATGGGAAACTTAGTAGAACTGTGGATATGTTTACCAAAATGTACTAACAATTAAAAAAAAAACAAACCTCAAAATGTCCTCTTACATGATTGTGCGCTTTGACTTGAAACATCTGTACTGGAGCTGACTTAAACATATGCAAAATGTTTTTCCTAATGGAAATAGGGCTCGTGTCGAAGTTTGTGTGCTTCAGTAAGTCCTTCTTGCAATTGAATTGCAACATTTGGATGGAATAAGGTTGTTCAGAAATATAAATGACCTTTCTGTTGCATGTTACCCTAATTTAGCTTTTAAATAGCTAGCATCTAAACCAGTTTAAAAATTATGATCACTACAGCTCAATTGTAAAATGTTGATTGGGATCTTACAATAAAGCAAAACCTCATTTTCACTGTTAATATTGTCTTCTCTTCAGTTAAACTAGTATTCTGCTTAGTTCAGTTCAAGCCCTAACCAATTTTTACTGCATCATGAATTGTTAAACTTTCTCTTCTTCAGGCCATCTTCAGGCTTGTCTTCCATGAAAATGCTGATTGCATTCAAAATGATCTTTCTTAAAATAATCTACCTTTTTCTTTGGTCACAGATATTTGTTCATTTCTCTTCCTTTTTTTTTAATATAGAAAATACTTGGGCCTTTTCTTCTGCTTAGTGCTCACAAAACACACTTCACAATTGATGTGACTTTTCTTCCAGTTCATTTAATATTTGTTTTAGTTAGGCTTTTGAGCTCTCTCTACTCATTTGAAAATATCACTCTCATTTGCTGATGTTGTCTTAACCAAATTATTTTTAGATTTGGTGCTTCATTTTCTCTGCCTTGTGTGCCATCTGCAGCATGTTGACCATGCTTTTCTGAAACACCGTACTGTCTTCAGAGGTCTGAGTGAGAAAGAAACCTTCCTTTTTGTTGGATGAGAAAAAGCTTTCCTTTTCCTTGGGGGATGGAGGAAGCATAGAAGCCAATAAGCTGGATGCTTTCATGTGAAGTGATTGTCTGTGCTTCAGATTACTTCTCTTATTCGAAGAGGAAGATTGTTGACTGTGGAAATTATACTTGGGAAATGGTGAAGGCTCAGAATTCTGTTTCAGAACTGAACTTGGTGACATGCCACATGGAATGAGTTAAACATTGGTGAAAGAAGAAGGTAGTAAATTAGGAAAAGAGATTGTCTGGAGATGACAGTTAATTTTGTGCTTCTAGAGGAAGCTCCATCAGGAAGAGGAGAGAAGAGGTGATTGTGAAAGACTTGCAGGGACTTCTGTCTTCTGAAAGACTTTCTAAAAGAATAATGGAAGAGATAAGAATAGAAAATGAATCAAGTAGAGGCTGAACAGATAGAATCAAATTCAGATCTCAGAACAAAATCATACTGTCTCAGGCTCATAATCAGATAAAAGTGGCTATTCAATAAATCGGCTGCTACCAGATTGCAGCAAATAGCTGACGAGAAAAGACCTACAATATTTAAGCAGAAGTCCATAGTCCTGGTGTTCATAGGAATGTGATCATTTGTGCAAAGTGGTAGAACAGGGCAGAGATGTGCTGCCTTTCTGCAGAGTTTCTTCCATGTAGATTCAACTTCTTGTTCATGAATATGCAGAGATGTTGTTCCATGCTAAAAAAGAGAAGATGTCATTCTGAAAATCACTGTTTAATTATCCATGTAATTAAAAGCATCCATACTGAGCAGTTGAAGAAAAATACCACATGAGATTTTCTCAAATGCAAGTTCGATTTATAACTGTAGGCTATGTTTTTGATTATGGAAACTTAATTAAATTCAGTGATGACATCATCTAAGTAGATCAAAAGCTCTATAATAAATGAAGTTGTTACATGTACAAGGAAGGCAGTATGCCATTAGCTGTAGTTTTCTCAGTGTCATATATAAAATATCTGACCTGATATTTTTAATAAAATGGCATATCTCTTAATCTTTCAAGATGTAGATGTCAAGCTAAGTATTTAGTTATTTGTTTGTAAATGTGTAAAATACTGATGATTCAGCAGCAGAACATAAGAATTTCAAATTATTTCTCCTACAGTAGAACTACTGTTTTCCTGTTGAGAAGCTATAACTCTTAAACAGTTTGAGAAAGTAATAAAAGAATGTAACTACTACTAATGATTAAACACTGAAAAATTTGTGTGATGCTACATCCTACTAAGTACTTTGCTGTGTTTATTTATGTATTATTGTTATCTTTTTTACACAATAACCTCTCTTGGCTGACCACTGCATGCAGATAGTCGGAAGTAAAGTTCCGGTGAGTATGAACATGATAGTTTTGTTTTTTCTTATGAACATACTTCCATTTTTAGAGGTTAGGCTGGAATATTTTGGACTTTTATCTTGGATTTAAAAGTTCAGTGGGCATAACTGTATCCTTGTTTTACCAAAATAATTGTCAGCTACCTCAATCATGTTTATCTTAGCAGTATAAGATCATTGATTTTGAGGGATCTGTTTTTAAGTTTTCAGGAGTCTATTTCCAAATACTTCAGATTTACTGAGAACTCATCTGTTCATTGTAAGCAACAAATATAATTTAGGCTTGTCTTGCTTTTTATTGAAGGCAATCACTCTAAACTTCAAATTTCCAGTATTTGGCTTACTTCATTCTGTTTAGACATGGATTTTTTGAATGTCCTAATTGTTAGTATTCATAGTTTGTCATGGAAGTGTCGTCTGCTGCTTATCAGTGTGAGAATAAGATTAATACAGAGGATTCAGAAGGTCAATTAATAAGCATAAGACAAGATCACTTGCAGCATAACTTTTCTGTTATTAAGTGCTCAGCTGCGGTTTATGTTGTCATGATTGAATTTAGTAATCTTTTTTTAGCAAGTATTTGGAACTTAATTTGCTGGACTGAATTTAGCGAATTTTTGTTTTCTAGAA